CCCTGCCGTTTTGGTCAGTATGGCTTTGTAGTATATTTTGAAGTCAGGGATTGTGATGCCTCCAGCTTTGTTCTTTTTTCTCAGGACTGCCTTAGCAATTCAGGGTCTTTGATTGCCCCATATGAATTTTAGCATTCTTTGCTCTAGTTCCGTGAAGAATGTCATTGGGATTCTGATAGGGATTGCATTGAATCTGTAGATTGCTTTGGGTAGTATGGACATTTTAACTATGTTTATTCTTCCAATCCATGAGCAAGGAATCTCTTTCCATCTATTTAAGTCATTATCAATTTCTCTCAGTAGTGTCTTATAGTTTGCATTGTATAAATCCTTCATGTTCTTGGTTAAATTTATTCCTAGGTACTTTGTATTTTTAGTTGCGATTGGAAATGGATTTATATTCTTGAGTTCTCTTTCTGTAAGTTCGTTATTGGAGTATAGAAAAGCAACTGATTTTTGTAAGTTAACTCTATACCCTGCAACTTTACTGTGGTTAATTATTTCTATTAGTTTTCCAATGGATTTTTTTGGGTTTTCTGTATATAAGATCATGTCTTCTGCAAACAGGGAGAGTTTCACTTCTTCACTGCCTATTTGGATTCCTTTTATTCCTTTCTCTTGCCTAATTGCTCTGGCCAAGACCTCCAGTACTATGTTGAACAAGAGTGGTGATAGTGGACATCCTTGTCTTGTTCCTGTTCTAAGAGGGATGGTGCTCAGTTTTTGCCCATTGAGTATCATGTTGGCTGTGGGGTTGTCATTTGTGGCCTTTATTATGTTAAAGTAATTTCCTTCTGTCCCCATTTTGTTAAGAATTTTCATCATAAATGGCTGTTGGATCTTGTCAAATGCTTTCTCTGCATTTATTGAGATGATCATGTGGTTTTTGTTCCTCAGTTTGTTGATGTGGTGTATCATGTTGATTGATTTGTAGCTGTTGAATCATCCCTGTGTTCCTGGTATGAATCTCACTTGATTGTGATGTATGATCCTTTTGATGTCTTGCTGAATTCGGGTTGCCAAAATTTTGTTGAGAATTTTTGCATCTGTGTTCATCAGCGATATTGGCCTGTAGTTCTCCTTTTTCGTGGTGTCCTTGTCAGGTTTTGGTATCAGCGTGATGTTGGCCTCATAGAATGTGTTAGGAAGTGTTCCATCTTCCCTAATTTTTTGGAATAGCTTGAAAAAGATAGGTATTAAATCCTCTCTGAAAGTTTGGTAGAATTCCCCAGGAAAGCTGTCTGGTCCTGGAGTTTTATTCTTTGGGATGCTTTTGATTGCTGTTTCAATCTCTTTCCTTGTGATTGGTCTTTTCAGGTTCTCTGTTTCTTATTGACTCAGCTTTGGGAGATTGTAAGAGTCTAAGAATTTATCCATTTCCTCTAGGTTATGCATTTTGTTGGCATATAGTTTTTTGCCCCCTCTTTGTCTCTCTTTACCTGCCTTATCTTGAAGGCTACTTTGTCTGATATAATTATCACAACACCTGCTTTCTTTTGTTTGCCATTAGCTTGGAGTATTGTCTTCTACCCCTGCATTCGGAGCCTGTATTTGTCATTGGAGCTTAGATGTGTTTCCTGGAGACAACAAATTGTTGGATCTTGTTCTTTAATCCATCTTGCCACTCTGTGTCTTTTTATTGAAGAGTTCACTCCGTTTACATTGAGGGTGATTATTGACGTATTAGGGCTTAATGATGTCATTATGTCACTCATGTTCTGATTTTCCTGCATTTCCTTAGTTTTTTTGTCCTGTGTGTTTTGGCCTACCCATTGAATTATGCAGTTTTTTATGATGTTTTTCTTTGGTTTTTCCTTAATTATTTTTTGTGTCTCTGTTCTTCTTTAGTGCCTTCTTTAGTGGTTTAGTGGCTACTCTAAAGTTTGTATTCAGAATCTTGTGCATAACTTACTCCATTTTCTGATGGCGTCTTATTTCCTTAGTCTAAACTGATTCAGTCCCTCTTCTCCTCCCCTCCTAAGTTATTATTCTTATCTCTTATTCCAACTTGTGTTGAGAGTTTATGGTTAAAGTGACAAGATGGTCTTTGTTTTTGGTGTTTTCCTTCCCTTTAGCCTAATGCTATAGTTGAATATTTGCTATCCTGTTCTGGTTCTGCCTATCTGTCTCCTTACTCTGTTTTGTGACCTCTTTCTCCCTTTTTTTCTTTTTCAGATATGAGGGCCTTGTGGAGGATTTCTTGTAGGGGAGGTCTCGTGGCTATGAAGTCCCTTAGCTTTTGTTTGTCTGGGAAAGATTTAATTTCTCCTTCATATCTGAAGGATGTATTTGCTGGATAGAGTATTCTTGGCTGTAGACTTTTATCTTTTAAAGTTTTGAATATGTCATTCCATTGTCTCCTAGCTTTTAAGGTTTCTGCAGAGAAATCTGCTGAAAGTCTGATAGGGGTTCCTTTGTTGGTTATTTTCTTCTGCCTTGTTGCGCTGAGTATTCTTTGTCATTCATTTTTGCCAGTTTTACTGCTATATGCCTTGCAGTAGGTCTTTTTACGTTGACAAAATCTAGGAGATCTGAAAGTTTCCTCCACACATTTCTCTCTCATTCCCTAGATTTGGGAAGTTCTCTGCTATTATTTCTTTGAGCACGCTTTCTGCTCCATTCTCCTCTTTACATTCTTGAATACCCATAATCCTTATGTTGCATTTCCTCATTGAGTTGGATATTTCTTAGAGACTTTCTTAATTTCTTTTTAGTCTTAGTTCTCTCTCCTTCTCTGTCTGGAGCGTTTCAACCTGTCTGTCTGCGATTATGCTGATTTGCTCCTCTCTGGTGTCCACATGAGCATTCAGGGAATTCGTATTTTGTTTTATGTGTTCCATTGTGCCTTTCATCTCTAATATTTCTGATTGATTCTTCTTTATAGTTTCAATCTCTTTTGTGAAGTAGCTCCTGAACTCTTTGAATTGTTTCTCTATATTTTCTTTTACCTCCTTGAGTTTTTTGATGATATGTATTTTGAATTCATTGTTGTTTAGTTTACTTATTTCTGTGTCCTCAGGACTGAGTTCTGGGTGTTTATCGTTTTCTCTCTGGCCTGATGTTGGAAGGATGGGGCTTTCCCATTGTGATGTTATTCAGTTGCAGTTACAGCCTATTGGCACTGGATGGGGGTCGAGAGCCGTGTATTCTGAGCCCTTGCCTTCAGCCAAGATGGCATTGGCATGGGCTGGGGGAGGGGTGCTTTCTCCTGTGTGCAACCTCAGGTTTCCCCATCAGCTCTCGCTATCTGGTTTCCTGGGGTCTTGGTTTGATGAGGTAACACTGGGTGAAAGCTTTCGCCCCATTAGAGGGCTTCCCTCTAGGCTGCAAGGGCCCTAGGGAGTCCTGGGTGATCCTGTGGACGCTCAACTGCTCCCCCACTCCTTCCCTCTCGGAGCCTCGCACAGCAGTGACCGCAGTCTTTAGGGGAAGGAGCAAAGATCTCTCTTAACCTGTTCCAGGTCCTCCGAGGGGGGCTCCAGCCTCTCCACCTTCTTTCGTGTGACTGCCGTGACACTCCGAGGACTTTTGTGCTTTTAGGGTATTTTCTGTTGGAATATGGTTGCTCCTTTCTGTTGTATGTTGGAGGGGAGAGAGTCCTGGGCAAGTTCACTCCAGCATGATGCTGACGTCACTCTGAGAACTCTTTTTTTAATGTCAAGAATCTTACTACATTTGTCAAAAACAACAGTTGAAAGTGTTCTTGGATTTTTGAGTTGTTTCCATTAAGGCTATTTTTAGTTAAATATTGAGATGTTTACCTTTTCTTCACTATTTTCCCAAATGCCATGCTGGCCTTTGGGGTCCAGAGTAAAAAGGGGATCTTTTCCTATTTAAAATATTTTTTCTTTTATTTTTCTGATAGACTTTGTGACATATTTGTTACCTGACCTCAATTACAGTGTACTAGGAACCTCATAGCTGAATTTGCTACCCACTTTTAATGATTCTGCTATATTAACTTTAAACTTTACTTTACTGTTCTATTCATACTTTCTTTAATTTATATACTTATTTTATCATATTGTACTATTTGTATTTTTTTATGCCACTTAAACAGGATAATGTACAGTCTGTTTTGCTATAACATGACATATGTATTCCTAAAAGTGACTGTGCTGTACAATGTTATGCAGTAAAACCACAGGGCTTATGGGAGAAATGGGATTATGGAAATAAAATTCAAACACCTTGTCAGTGACACATTCAAAAAAGAAATCTCATAAAAGGCATAGTAGAGTTTTATACATTAAATGGTTAAGAAATATATAATTGTAGAATAAATATGACATTTTGTTTTGAAGAAGCCCTGGAGTTTGTTTGTGGAACTGCATTTCAGGAGGGTTGCAGTTTCTGTGTTATAAAGTGGTAGAAGGAAGGTGATCTGAGATAAGATAAAAAATTATAACACCAGATAGAAATGGGTGAGGCTAGGAACATACCAGCTGAAGTGAGATAGCTAGTAGAGGTTTGTGGTATATGCCTTTTTTTATATTGCTTGGTTCATTTGGCCTGGTTTCATTTTCTGTGTTCACTTAGAATTTTTTTCTATGTGAAATCATGCAAAAACAAAAGTGACATTCTCATTATACTCAAATTATCCCCTAATATATCAAGCGAATTGGAACAAATTTGCTTTTTGAAATAAGCCTTATAGCAGAACTGATAACACTTAACGACAGGGATATGTTCTGAGAAATGTCTTTAGACGATGTCATCATTGTGGAAACATCACAGAGTGTACTTATACAAACCTAGATGGTATAGCCTACTACACACCTAGGCTATATGGTACTAATCTTATGGGACTACTGTCATATATGTGGTTCATCATTGACTGAAACATTGTTACGTGGGACATGACTATATAAGTAAGTACCTATCTTGGAGAAAGGGATTAACTTTTTGTCAAAGAACATGCCATCACCACCTGTTTTTCTTCACATGATTCACGTTATGTTACTGAAAAGTCTAAATGATCATAGATTATTTTCTTACAGGAAACTACATCCTTAATTATGTGGCATCGCAACCCAAACTGGCTCCTTTTGTCATCCAAGCTCTGATTCAAGTCATTGCTAAAATCACTAAATTGGGGTGGTTTGAGGTTCAGAAAGACCAGTTTATCTTCAGAGAAATTATCGCTGACGTGAAGAAGTTTCTTCAGGTAAGAAGGCATTGTTACATTATTAGAACATCACTAGGTGTTTTTCTTGGATTAGGAAACTGCTTTTCTTAAAGCTGTATGGTTTGTTTTGTGGCTACCAGTACCATATTAATTATGCTTTATTATTTATCCTTTGGGTCCTTTACTTTTTAGTGACAGTAAATGAAGATCATGCCATTTTATAATTTCTAGACCAGAAGAATGCAAATTATGATGTTTTCTCATTTCAAAAATATGTTATTTCTAGCATGTGTGTCTGTGCACTGTGTACGTATATGTGTATATCTGTATTTCTAATGTGTGTGTATTACATGTATACAAAACGTGTATATATTTTCCATGTATTTTCTAATTTAATGCTCATTACATCTCTGAGAAGTGGATTTCATTTTGTAAATGAGAAAACCGAGGCTTAGAAAAATTAAGTAATTTGCATAAGATTGCACAGTGACTTAGTTAAGCATAGAGCTAGTACTTCAAAAAGTTTTCTAACTGAAGATATATATATATATATATATTTAATTTTTACATTGTACCACATTGACTGTATCTCAAGAATGTTTTCAACCTAAGTGGTTAAAGTTACAGCATATGCACATTTAACTACACAAATTCAGGTGTTTGGACCGGAAAAAAAAAAAAAGAGAGAACACTAAATTGTGCCAGTGATTCCACTTGGGCTTCCACACAATATTATATGTCCTGGAGTGTGGTTTGAGAAATCTAAATCTGCTATTTCCTGTTCCTGTATGCCTTTTGTGATATTTAAAGATACACTTTTTCATACAAACATTATCCCTAATTGCAAGAAAAGTACTTTAGCTGGTGCTCTGCTGAAGAAGCAGTGATCTGTTATAATTCTCAAAGAAAAATTGGCAGTTTGGATTGAGAGATGATTAAGTATTGGTTTATTGGCAATTAGGGGCAATTTGGACTTTCTGAGATTTGATTTATTATACAGTAACTTTAAAATTTAATCCCTGTGTAAGATGTAACTCCGTCATATAGTGCAGTGCTGGAAACCTCAGAATATAAAATACTAGACTATACTGCTTTTTTATTAATATTGTTGAAACTCTGGTTAGCACATATTTGATCATCTAAAACCTCACAGGAGTAAGTGTACTTTCGGCCCTGAGGAGATCTGCCCTGGGACCGAGGGATAGTTTGTTCAGAGACAGATGAGTTTCTCACTTGAGAGTTGTCTCGCATCATTTACTAAGCACCCCTCTCTTATCATTTACTAAGATTGCACACAGCTCATCAAGAATCACTAGTGTAGACAAGAATAGACTTCAGAGTTCTTTTAAAATAAACTCAAGGTTAAAAACTGAATGGAATGAAATCGTTCTTGTTGGCTAACAGTTCTCAAGCTCCCTTTTCAGTGACTGGTAAGTTGAGCTTAAGTTGGGCTTTAGTTGGTTTTGGAAGACCAGAAGAAACAGAAAATGTTTTCAGAGTTTACTTTAGTATCACAAAGAAAGCATTTGCTTTCTGGGATATGAATTAACCTAATCTTGAGTTATGAGAAAGACAATTGACTTTAATGTTGTGGTACTCTAAAATAAGACCACATGGTTCCTTTGGGTATTAGCGGCTTCTCTGAATTTTGTACTAAAAATTACTTTAAATTTGTTAAACTTTAATGGCCTGAAGTTTTATTTTCTTTCTTATTGAAGCCTTATTGCTGCCACACTCCTAACATTTATGTGCCTCCTTGCTATATACATACCCAGGAGATCTTACTGTCATCCACGGCAGTGATGTTCAAATTGCTGGTCCACAACGAGATAAGGAGTTTATGTCAAAATAACAATCAATGTGGTGCTTCCTGTACTGAGAAAGACTTCCTATGAAAAAAATGACAGCTGAACTAAAGTGTACTTAGTGAATTAGCTGTTTTATATTCTGGTGCAAACTATTTTGTCAGGGACCAGTACCATTCTCTGATTAGAAGCGAGTTTGCAGACCACCAGCAGATTCATGGGCCAGCAGTTGGTCAGGAACCACACTTTGAGGAGTGTTGGCCTGGTGGACACAGAGGATGGATGCTTCATTAATAGGAAATGTCTAGCTCAGTTCAAACAGCTCAGATTCTCCCCAGGGGCAGACGTTTCTTTTATTTTTTATTCTGAGATAATTTGAACTTAATTACACCTAGTGAGCCAGTGGTAGTGAAATTCTGTGATCATTAGAAGGAATGACCAACTATAAAATTAAGACTTGAAAAGTATATCGTCTGTATTTGTGCCTTTTTTTATGATTACACTGTAATTGGATGTTACATTTATTATTTCCCTACTTCCAGTGTGGTTTTGCAATGGGGTAATTTATTAGTAATGTGCATATAAAATCTGAATTTTGATTTGAAGGAAGTTTTTGAGATTAAATTGGAAGTTGATTAAATTAAAAACATTATAGAGGCTATGAAATTGTATACCATGTTGATAGTAGTCATGTATTTACCCCAGTGCATTGGGCACTTTAGATGCCTTCATTATACATACATAATAAATGCATATACATGTACTATTAAGAAATATTAAAAGGGCCTAAGTGATCTTATCTGCTATTAGATTGAGAGAAATTAATTCCTAAGCTATTAATTATTTATCGAATGCAACTTTCTCAGTAACCTTCAAGCAAATTTATAAAGCTAGAAAGCATTTTTTTTGTTGTTGTTGTTAAAGATTTTATTTTTTCCTTTTTCTCCCCAAAGCCCCCTGGTACATAGTTGTATATTCTTCGTTGTGGGCCCTTCTAGTTGTGGTATGTGGGACGCTGCCTCAGCGTGGTTTGATGAGCAGTGCCATGTCCACGCCCAGGATTCGAACCAATGAAACACTGGGCCGCCTGCAGCAGAGCGCGCAAACTTAACCACTTGGCCACGGGGCCAGCCCCAGAAAGCATTTTTTGTTCATTCTTATTCATGGTCTTATGAAAAGTATTAAACTAAACTCTTGTAATTTTAGATTTAGTTTATGATAAGTCCTAGGTGCTGAAAACATTTTGTAGAGTATTAGGCAGTTCTGAGGTTAGGTGAGCTTTTTTACCCACTCAACTCTGTATACCTGAATTCATCCTTCAAAATATGAACTTCAAATTCTTTTTGTTTGTGGACCTCATAGTGATTTTTTCCTCCATATTTTAATAGATATATTGTTAAGAAAATGTGATGTTTCAGTATTTAATTACTTGTAAATATTACCTGGTTTACACATTGAGAACCAATCATATGTCTCTACTTAGGCTAAACTTGGTTATTTTCTTCACAGGGTACTGTGGAACACTGCATAATAGGAGTAATAATCCTTTCAGAATTGACTCAGGAAATGAACCTGGTAAGCCTTTCCATCTAATGGTGACATGAAGTTTGCAAAGTAATGCTGTTTCTTTGATGTAAAATCCTCTTTGTGTGGCATAAAACTGAATAATCAAGTCTTTTTTTAAATTTGTCTATTTTATTAATGGGATAATTAAGTTTTGGAACACTTTCATTATTAATGAAAATAGCAGCAATAGTATAAAGTACTACAAAGAACAGAGAATTAGACATGGTCCTTGCTCCATGGCAATTGGGGAATTGTCCTTTTGTCCTCTGTGTGTAGAGTAATATACTAACCATAAGAAATAAATAATATGCAAAAGAGAAACAAACCTTTATTCACTTACAAATAAAAGAAGCAGTTTCGTGAATTGATTCTCAACAATGGGTACACAGTAGGACTCATGGAAGAACAGGCTACTGTACACTTTGCCACTTGCTGGCATGGAGTTTCACCCTGTACAAGAGTTTTCAGAAGCTGCAACTCCCCCCAACAGTGCCTTTATGAGCTCAGCAGCTGAGCGCATCGTCACGTGCTCCTGTTCACTTTTGTACTTAACATGGTCCTAAACAGAACAAAAGCAGAAAGTTGAGGTCTATGTGGAATAATGTCACAATAAAAGGGAATGTACTGTTGATATTTAAAAACTGTCATCATCTTGAATGGTCTGTGTTCGTGTGTGTGTGTTTACAGAGAAAGAGAGAGTGAGCTTACCTTGTATACCCAGGAGCACTTGCCAGCCAGCTCCCTTTGGAGTGACAACATAGTTCCTGTGCGTTAAAAAATCACCCAAAATAACTATTTTCTATTTGTGTTCATTCAGGAATTAGAAAATATTTCTAGATTTACTGGAAGGATTTCTGAAATTTAAAGTGATCTCTTAACTTACCACAGCCATCACCTCCCCAACTTCTCCACTCCAGAGCCTGTAAAGATTTCTCACTTTATGGATGTATGCCAGCGTGTGTGTATGTATCTCTAGGACTAGTAAAATAGCAGCTGAAACAGAGTTAGTGTGTTAGCAGGGATGTTATGACAAGGACTTTGGCTAATCCTATTAGACTCTATAATATTTCTGAAGAACTGTAGCTTTCCTTTTAAAGCAATATATTTAAAAATAACTTTCGTATTAATATTTTAACTCATGAAAGTGAAGAAAATAGTACAACAATCCCATATACGTCATCTAGCTTACACAACTATCCACTTTTTGCTAATCTTAAAACTAGCATTCTTTTTGCGTTTCCTACTTCATAGCATAAGAGGAATATAGACGACCCTGATAGTGAGATTTGCTGTGTTTAGATTGTTACTGAGACAAGACCCTGTAATTTGCAGTTCTAGTAAAAGTGGGATTCAGAGAGCAACTGAGTTGGTTTTTGTAAAATTGACTATCTTAACGTTTACAGAAAAGTTCAGAGTACAATACAAAGCAGTTTTTTTCCCTCAACAATTTGATACTAAGTTGCCCACATGATCCCACAATACCTTAGTGTATTTCCTACATGTAAGGACGTTCTCCTTCATAACCACAATACGGCTGTTAAATCAGAAAGTTAACACTGACATATTCTGTTATCGTACTCCATTTGAGTTTCATGACTTGTCCCAGAAAGGGACCAGTTTAGAGTTGTGCATCTCATTTATTTGACATGTTTTATTAGTCTCCATTAACTTGGAAAAATTTCTCACTCTTTCTTTGTCTTTTATCACCTTGACACTGTGAAGATTACAGGTCAGTTTTGTAAAATCTCTCTTAATTTGGGTTTGTCTGATGTTTCTTCATTATTGGATTCAGATCATTCGTACTTGTGAGGAATATCAGAGAAGTGATACTGTGGTCTTCTCATTGCCTTCTATCAGGAAGCACATGATTTGATTTGTTACATTACTAATGATGTTCACTTTGATCACTTGATCAAGATTGTCTCTACCAGGCTTTTCCAATTGTAGATTTATTATTTCCCTTTGTAAGTAATAAAATTTTTGTGGAGAGGTACTTTAAGACTCTGAAAACACTCCATTCCTCTTCAAACTTTCCATTTATTTGTTTATTTATATCAGTATGGATTCCTGGTCTCCTATTTTATTTAATAGGTTATAATTTGTTACTAACGTTATATTTTGATGTTCAAATTTACCCAGATTTGGCCAGTAGGAACCCTTTCAAGCTAGCTTCTATGTCCATTTGACATTTACTCACTGTTCTTTGAACGTTTTCTTACTTTCTGGCATAAGATGTTCCAGGCTTATCTTGTATAGAACCAAGGGCCTTTTGAAAAAGTTCCAAGGTCTAAAGTGTAATTTTGGCTTTGTGTGGTGAAGAATATATGGCTTCTGTGGAGACATTTTACTCAGCCTAATTTTATGGCGTTTACAGTTTCAACCAGCATTTCTTAAGTACTTCCAAACCAGGCAGTGGGGAGATCTACAACGCATGGTGAAAATCAAATATTATAGTTGTCAAATGTGAGCCAGACACATTCATGTAGTGTCAATAACAGGATGTATCTTTTAAGAAAAAGATCTAAACTTGAGGTTTCCTAGAAGTTAAGAGAATTGTATGTTATCCTGCGTTTTTTAGAAGCCAAGTCTATCGTTCCTGGAGTATATTCAATATATAATCATCAAGAAGTAAAAGTATCCTTTGCCTGCATGATAGAGGCACAGGCATGCAGTAGAAAATGGGAGCACAGTCCCTCCCAAGTAACCCAAGTAAAATAAGCATGTAGGTCTTGAGGATAACTTTGAAATAAGACCTGGATTTGTATTTTAGCTCTATTGCTTACTACTTTGTACAAACTTCTTAACATGTTTAACTTATGTATCACTGTCTGTAAAGTGAGAATGATACCTTCTTGGGTCACATTGAGATTAGATAAGCGTGGAGCTGGCTTGCTTGTGTGGTGGTAAAGTTTGTGTGCTCTGCTTTGGTGGCTTGGGGTTTGTGGGTTTGGATCCCCAGCGTGGACTTACACACTGCTCATCAAGCCATGCTGTGGTGGTGTCCCACACACAAAATAGAGAAAGATTGGCACAGATGTTAGCTCAGTGACAATCTTCCTCAAGCAGAATTAGAAAGATGGGCAACAGATGTTAGCTCAGGGCCAATCTTCCTCACCAAAAAGAAAAAAAAGAAAGAAAGAAAAAGATAAGCTACTAGCACAAGGCCTAGTATGTAGTAGTGCTCAATGAACCCAGAGTTCTCTCTGTGTTAATGATATGTTGGTATTGAGAGGTTGGTCTAAGATAGTGTGCCTGTAAACTTTAATTTTCTCATGTGAAGAAAGAGGATAACATATTTCACAGGTTAGTTTTGAGGATTAAGTGAAATAATACATCAAGAGTACTTCAAAAATTTTGATTATAGTGCTTATGTTCTTGTTTGTATTAATTAAGGAGAATTTTTTTTTATATATTGATGCAAGTATTATAGGAGAGAGAGACTGAAGTTTGATTTGAAAGAAGGGAGGAATGCTGGAAATGCTGTTTTGAATCTTACGTATTGGATACAGATTCCAGTAACTACTTTTTTTTTTTTTGAGGAAGATTGGTTTTGAGCTAACTGCTGCCAATCCTCCTCTTTTTGCTGAGGTAGACTGGCCCTGAGCTAACATCCATGCCCATCTTCCTCTACTTTATACGTGGGACGCCTACCACAGCATGGCTTGCCACGCAGTGCCTGTCTGCACCTGGGATCCGAACCAGCGAACCCCAGGCCACTGAAGCGGAATGTGCACACGTAACTGCTACGCCACTGGGCTGGCCCAGTAACTACTTTCTGTAATCACTTTGAACTTCTGTTATGTTTCATGTTTCTATAAGTAAACATGGCATTTGAGTCTAAATTATGTGATGGAGCTTAGGGAGTGTCAGATCATCAATTTTGAGGTCCCTGCTTTTTTCAAATCTATAAACATTAGCAAGGAAAATGGCTTATTTTCTTCTTCCAAATAGCAAAAGGAATGCTACAGCCACTGTAGCCCATGGTGTTACTAATCATTTGGGTATCAGACTTCAGCTTTGTTTGCTGTTTCCTGTTGATAAATGGAAATATTAGTGGTATTGATAGTATAGTTTTGACCTTATAATTTAGATTAGAGGCTCGAGAACTAGCCTTAGTAAGTTTAGTCTTAAAAATTATTTATCATTAACCAATAAAATATTCAGAGGGGAATATACTATTGCATATGTAATAAATCAGATTTCTGATTATAATTTCTGCCTTGCTTTCTTTTTAGAATACTGAGGCTATATCAACCAACGACATAACTGGTGTATATAGGAATATCACTTTCATATAGAAGAATTTTTCTGTAACTGATTCAGTTTGGTTCACAGAAAGTTAGGATTTGAAGATTATCTTAGGGGTTTCTCATTTTATAGCTGGAGTCTGAGGAACAGGAAAGTTGTTACTTGCCTAATGTGAAATATGGTGCATGGTTCAGGAGTTGATAGTCTTAGTATCTATCTATTATTTTATAATCTGTGTCTATATTGCCTCTGAAAGTTCTATGATCAATTATGGTTTTTAATTTTGAGATCATTATGGTCTGTAGAAAGAGCCCTGAATTGGAACAGTCCAGAAACTTAGGTTCTAACCATGGCTTTGCCGTTAACTCTTTAAGTAACCCTTAAGCAAGGCTCATATCCCAGTAGAGTTTTAAAAGCTCTTTTAGCTCTATACTTTATGATTCTTTAATCATTATTTCAATTCCTTTTCTTACCTGGTAAATTTTTGCTTTGCTATTTGGTATGTCTGGTTAAATAAATTCATCTTGATCTTTTTAGGTTGATTATTCTAGACCTTCAGCAAAACACAGGAAGATAGCTACCTCATTTCGCGACACTTCTCTCAAAGATATTTTAGTGCTAGCATGCTCTCTTCTAAAAGAGGTAAGTTATTTAATAATTCAGTATCCTAGTTAGAATATTTAGGACATTTTAAATTTCAAAAGAATTTCAAATGAATCCCCACCACTCCCATTCTGCCTTTTGAATAGTTATTGTGGACTGTCTTAATTTAAGTACAGTAGATTTGCACACATCTGTAGGAGTTTCCAAAAAATTCACTTTTACTTACTAGGGATATAATAAAATCCTAAGGGAATTTGGTAACTTGCTTTAGGTAGTAGTTTCATCGTCTTCCTACGGTAGATTATTTGTTGCTGAAGCTAGTTGAGATTTAGTTTCTTTATTGCCCTGCCCATATTTTAATGGGATGGGGATGAACAACAAAATGACTAAGTTTTCCTAATTCATCAACTATCCATGTCTATTCATAGTTGAGCCAAGATGGTTGATTTTAATAATATCTTTGGGAAATAACATTTCCCCATTTGCTACTTAGTGCCCTATTGAACATTAGGGATAGTACAGTTTATAATTATATTGTGTTCTTTTGCAATACAGGGACTCCATCATGCTGCTTAAGCTTTTAATTGGTGTAGTATAGCATTTCCCAAAGTGTGTTCTACTAATCACTAGTAGAAACTTATTTCAGTTCTGTGTTATAGTAACATGATAACTACTACACTAGGACAGACTGAAAGACCTTCTATTATTTTAAAATTTTTCTTTTAGTATGGAAAATTTTAATGTATACAAAAGAAGATGGAATAGTATAATGAACTTACTTGGACCCATCAACCAGTTAGGCAGTAACAACTCATGACGAGTCTTGTTTCATCTTTACCCTTACCTAACCACTTTCTTTTTGTGTTATTCTTTAAGCAGAATCTTAAACTTCATATCATTTTCTCCACAAATATTTCACAGTGTATCTCTAGGAGATATAATCTGTTCTGGTTGTCAGAATGGACGTTTTGGGAGGTCAGGATTGTTCTCCAGAAGCTTGTGAGTGTCCTCCCACATTTAAACAGCTTTGGGAACCTTTGTTAACTAAATATAGATAATTTATGCATGAAGTTCCCCCACTTTTTCTTAAAGAATATTATATTTTTAGCTTGTTCCAAGCAACCTTTGAACTAAATGAATCCCATGAATTTGTGCATTTGTGTTGTGTAAAGTATTTATCCTAAAGTTACTCTTACAACTTTTGAAGGTGACCTACGATTTGCAGTTAAGTATGAAACTTTTTATTCCCATTTTACAAAATTAAATTTGAAAATAGTCTGTTGTAGATTTTTGTTGATAGTGATTTTATAACTTTTTCTAATATATGCAGCATAACTTTGCAAACTTTTTTTTTTCTAATTTTAACTTGGCATTGAAGAATTATTTAAATTATTGAAGTAAAAAATTTTCTTATTGACATATTTTATAATGTTTTATTTGACTTTGAACTTTTTTCAGATGTTGGCCAAACCTTTAAATCTTCAGGATCAAGATCAACAAAATCTAGTAATGCAGGTCTTGAAACTTGTTCTCAACTGCCTTAACTTTGACTTCATTGGCAGTTCAGCAGATGAATCTGCAGATGATCTTTGTACAGTGCAGATTCCAGCAACCTGGAGAACAAGTAAGAAAAAAGTTTAGTGTGAATCATGGTTAGCATAAAGGACATAGAATTAAGCAATATAATTGTTTCATGTGCAGTTATCTCTCTTTTTTGCTAGGCAATCAAAAAGTTCAAATGGATTTGTAACCCATAGTAGCTGCTGCTACCCAATATTGAAATCTGTTTTCCTCAGTTCATATCAAAGTAACTTCAGTATTTTGATTTTGGGAAAAAGAAAAGACAGCTCTACTTTAGGAGGAAAACAGGTTTGTGAGGGAAAGTGAAGAGTTCTGTTTTGAAACTTTCAGATAAACAGAGTGCGAGAGGATGCAAAGTTATAAAGAGAATGAAATAGAGTAATTGATTCAGCAGAGCAGAATTGCAACTTAATTTCCTATAGAAAGGAATACCAAGAAAAAGCAAGCTGATTTGCTCTCACACGTCCCAGGAAGATGATGGCAGTAGGGTATTCCTGAAGTCAAGGGTGGGGCATGGAGCTGAAAGGGCCTAGTAAAAAGCCCATATTCTGCATAGATTCCCCGGGATCTTTTCTACCACCTTTGCAGTGTGGTGACTGCCTTTTCTCCTTTCTTCCTGTGTGCACTTCCATTTCACTTCCTAAGACCAGAGCTTTTTTCCTTGAGAAATTAATCTGGAGAGGTTTCACATTCAGGGATGTCAGATATAGTAGAGAAACACCATAATTTTGTGAAAACTTCTAACATGGAAGTCAGAGACTAAAACAAACAATTAAAAGAGACTTAGTATCTTGACTGTGGTAATGAATACATCAACCAACACATGTAATAAAAATTGCACAGACTAAGTACACACACACACGAGTACATGTAAAACTCAGACATCTAAATAAGATTGGTGGATTGTATCAATGTGGTTTCCTGATTGTGATATTGTTCTGTAGTTTTGCAAGAACTTACCATTAGGGGAAAACTGAGTAAAGGATATGTGGAGTCTCCCTGTATTATTTCTTGCAACTGCTTATGAATCTGTAAATACCTCAAAAAGTTTTTAAAAAAGGGAAGAGTTATGGGGCCAGTCTGGTGGTGTAGTGGTTAAGTTTGTGCACTCCACTTTGGTGGCCTGGGGTTCACAGGTTCGGATCCTGGGCATGGACCTAGCACTGATTTGTTGGGCCACACTGGTGGCATCCACATAAAATGGAGGAAGATTGACACAGGTGTTAGCTCAGTGACAATCTTCTTCAAGCAAAAAGAGGAAGATTGGCAAGAGATGTTGATTCAGGGCCAATCTTCCTCACCCCCTTTCCCCCAAAAATGGGGACGAGTTGGTAGAAACAGAGACAAAGTGAAAAGTAGAAGCTTCACAAAGATATAATTAATATGGTCAGAGAAATAAGAAAAGGTAATACATCCCTGAAACAAGAATAGGATATTGTTTTAAAAAGGAAAGTTCAGACAGTGTTCCAAATAGAAAAGACAGTTGCCAAAATAAAACATTCAAGAAAAGAGTTGGAAGATAAGTTAAGGAAATATCCCAGAAAGTAGAACAAAAAAGCAGGGAGAGATTTGATAGGAGAAAAAAATAGAAGAATGTTAGAGCATGAAACTAGGAAGTCTGACATCTGACTATTAGTGGGTGGATTTGAGAAAGAGGACAGAAAAAACAGACATATGTAAACAAATAATGCCAAAAAAGTTCTCAGTGCTGAGACATAAATTTTCATATTGAAAGGTCCCATCACGCACCCAGCATAATAAATGAAAAAAAAAATATACACTTAGCTTCATAATCATGACATTTCAGAATGACAAGGATAAAGAGAAGATCCTAAAATCTACCAGAAAGAAAAAGTAAGTCATCTGCAAAGGATTGGGATCAAGAATGTTATTAGGCTTCTCAACAGCAGCACTGGAAGCTAGAAGACAATGAAGTGATATCTTTAGATTTCTGAGGGAAAGTTATTTTCAAACTAGACTGAAATTATCAAGTATAAGAGAGAATTAAGATGTTTTCAGACATGCGAATCTTCCTGAAATTTATCCCTTATGTGCTTGTTCTCAGGAAGCTACTTGATAGGCAAGCCAAGAAAATGTGGAAGATACAGGGTTTGGGAAAATGGAGCTTCAACACAAGATGACAATGAATGGATATAAAAGGGAGATAATTATATACCAAATTTAGGAACAACCAGTCCAAGTTGAAGGCTCTGGGAGGTGTAGGGGTGGGAAAATGGAGGTGATAGGTTATTTGATGCTATTGATCATGTGAAAAATGGTTGAAGAACATTTTACAAATCCATCAGAGCATTTGAAAAGAATTATTAACAGATACATATACAACTATGCACAGAAAGATGCTATGATTAAATCCAGAGAGTATTAGAAATGTGATATAATTATAGTGTGCTCCTTGGCTCAGCTGTTAACATTATTTACATAGTCATAATAAGTGTAAACACTTAGAGTTGATTTAATCCCAAATTTTTACAGTAGTGGGTGGATTTTTGAGAGAAGACGGATGGTTGAGTGAATGGCGGGGTGCGTGATTAGACAGCTAAAACCTCACATACTGTAACGGGAATTCATTTGATGTCTTAAAGTAAAACAAAGAAAGAAAGAAATAGTAATATAGCATGTTATTTGGAAGCTTGTATGTAAATACAGCTAGGGGTTGAAAGGTAGTTGGAAATGGGTAGGGTACAGCTGTTTTTTATTATACACTTTTCAGTACTGTTTACTTTTTGGTACTCTTTGGATTTTTTAACATTTACATTACTTTAATACAAATGAAAATAGTAGGAAGATTCTCCCCCTAAGAACTGTAGATACTACATAGAAATAAGGACCATCCTAGCTAATTAATCTCTATCTCTGTATTGTTTCACCTTTCAAAGGAAAATAGCTAGGAATTAAAGAAGAATTAAGCCTAATTGGAAAGAGTGGCCACATGCAGAGGTCTTGGAGTTCTTGGTTTGTGTGATAATGTGTTACTAACATGTTAAGATCACTGAATTGAAAGTAATGGTATTAGAAAATATTTTTTTTTCCAGTTTTCCTGGAACCAGAAACGTTGGATCTTTTCTTCAATTTGTATCATTCACTTCCACCACTACTATCTCAGTTAGTAAGTAAAAATCATTCATTATTTCATTAAAATGTATCTGTGATCTTTATCTAAGGGTGATAGATATTTACTTTAAAAAATTTTATGTTCTTGATTGGATTTACCTCTCACAAGAAATTCTTCCATCTTCTGGGATTTATATTGCTTAAGCTATTTGTCAGATTCTGTTTATAGTTGTGTATTCCATTTCATGGATGAGCCCAGAACCAGTAACTGTTGGTTTAGCTCCTGCCCAGAGCACAGATCAACCTCTAAGTATATATTCCTCCCTACTTAGTCCCCATCCCTTCTTCTGGGCCTCAGCCAAGTAGTTGTAGTCCAGCTTACCTGTACCTTCCCTACTCTTACCCTCTCTCACTCTTTATCAGCCCTGCTTGGCTTCATGTTTTGGGCTTGCCAGGCAGCCCGCATCAGATATCTCTGAATGAGAAGGACAGGGGATCTGCTCACTTGATTTTGTGCTCATCGCTCTAGTTATTCATTTGTTTTTTGAATCAAATTCTATTGTGTGCTGTAAAAATTCTTGAAAATCTTTGGTTATATAGAACTTTGAGACTACAGACCCCATCTTTGTGAAATCTAAAACAGAGACCAGGCAAGATTGGAAAAAAAAAAGTCAGTTTAATATCTAAGCTTGTAGAAGTAAAGTTGGGGAATTCTAATAGTTCCATTTCCTAAAAAAAGATGTTCCAGATTTAAAGTACATATCAGTGGTATGTTTGTTTAGATATGTTACTGCCTAGAAGGGAAGAACAGATTCACGTACTCCTTTTTTTTTTTTTTTTTTAAAGAAACATGTTGTCTGCTCTTGAATCTACAGTTTTAAAGTGATAGTTTTTTTTTTTTTTTTTAAAGATTTTATTCTTTCCTTTTTCTCCCCAAAGCCCCCCGGTACATAGTTGTGTATTCTTCGTTGTGGGTTCTTCTAGTTGTGGCATGTGGGACGCTGCCTCAGCGTGGTTTGATGAGCAGTGCCATGTCCGCGCCCAGGATTCGAACTAACGAAACACTGGGTCGCCTGCAGCGGAGCGCGCGAACTTAACCACTTGGCCACGGGGCCAGCCCCTAAAGTGATAGTTTTTAAACTGGATTTCACAGGACACTCATGTTTCCAGGTGGTGCGCCACAGAGCTTCAGCCTTCTGTCTTTTAACCAGAATAGTCTTGTTTTCAGTTGTTTAAAAATCACAGTTTCATGTACAATTATGTTTTGAGATAAAACAAGCTACCAATACTTAAAAAATCAAGTGGAAAACAACTGCTTTAAGAGAAAGTAACTAACATTTATTGTGCATGCCCTGTTATCTGGTGCTTATCTCACTTCATCCTCAAAGTGGCCCTGCCAGGTAAGTATTATTATCCCTTACTATTTAGACAAGGAGACAGACCCAGACTGGCTTAAGTGTCTTTCTCCAGGGCGGCAAACTAAATATTGGAGCTGAGATTCAAATCCAGGTGTTTTTGGCCCCAAAACCCTGCATATTTTTAAAAAACTAGTGATTCCAAACCTTCTACACATCAGAATTGCCTAAGGAGTTTCTTTTGTTTTTGACTTTTTGTTTTTGTTTTTTTTAAGGACTGTGGCAAACTGGAGAACATCAAAAAGGCCATCCTCTGATTTTTGTCCCTATTCTCACCCTTGCCAAGAGAGCTAGACATTTTGTGTGAAATCTCCTAATTGAAATATTTAACTGTTGACATCTAATTCTAATTTTTTTAAAAAAATGGATAAGCAAACATATGTGGACAAAAACAAAACATATGTGGACCAGTTTGGCCTGAAAGTTGCCGATTTTGGGCCTCTCACTTAATCATCAAACAGACTTCAAAGGGTATCAGTAGTAGAATTAAGAACCTGAGGAGTGAAATTATCTGGTAGAGTATTAACTTTAGGAAGATAAGCACACCACAGATACTCTGTAGGAGTTTTTATAGAATATCTAACTCTTCCAGCAGCATTTTCCAAATCATTTCTCAAGATATTAATGAATGGCATGGGTAAGATGTTCTCTCACCAAATAAATTTGGGACATGTGGGATTAAGTAAAATTACAGGATTTTTTTTTTCCCACTTGCAGGATACCACAGTGCGTAATGTGTGTGGTATTTCCCAAACATAGTCTACCACAAAACCATATTTTCTTTTTGTAGACCCTGGTTCATTGGTTCACAAACAGAACTGGGCATTGGAAGCAATTGAGAGCCTTTTGAGTATATCCACGTTCAGGCTCCGCTCTGGCATATTTAATATATGAAAAAATATTAGAGGAGAATACACACAAATAGGAATTTTAGTGGTGGGCTTGAAGGGTTGTGGGTGGTGTTGGTGATTGATGATGTTTAGCTTTCATTATTTTTGTATTCTACAATGCTTTTTTATTATTAGAATTAAACAATATGTTTTATGTAAAGAAAATGTTCTTTTCAGGTGGTCATAACGACTTTTAAAATTGAAATGAATTTTGTTGTTCCTATTTTTAGGCACTTTCATGTTTAGTTCAATTTGCTTCTACAAGAAGGTCCTTATTTAGCAGTCCTGAACGTGCCAAGTACCTTGGTAATTTAATTAAGGGAGTAAAAAGGATACTTGAAAACCCTCAGGTATTTATGAAATGATTTAATTAATACTTCACATATGGAAATACAGTTTTTCTGCTGAAAGGTACAAAATAAACTGATGACTTTACTGTAGTTCTGGAAGAAAATATGAAGTATCATATTCATCTTCTTTAGATCTCATGTGTAGTAGAAATAGGTAGTTTTTGAAAATGGATGTTTTCCTGACAGGCTTCTGTGCTCTTCCTGTTTTATTTTTTCCACTCTCTGAAGTGAATACGCATAGAGGTTCTATATCTTATTGTGCTGCTGGCTTTTACCATTGTGCCGCATCTCTTTGCTTCCTCTTCTGCAATTACTTAGTAATTAATTTAGAGTTATATCTCCTGAACCAGAAGACTTAGTATAAACCTGAGTGTTGATATTGGAGTAAGTGGCTTTAAATTATGGAATAATGTCTTTTTGCCCTCTTGTGGACAAACAAGACTTTGTAGATTTTAAAATCTACTCTCTACATTAGCTGCGAAGCTTCAGTGGTAGTATTCATTTCAGAGAACTGCAAAGCCATTATTAATTAGTAATTTCAGGGGCCTAAGTAAAATTTTTTGTTTCACTTTTTATTTTGTTTTTAGTTTTAAAAATCTCTAATGAGGGCACAGATTTTAAAAGGTTAAATGATGATTTAAGGAGGTTTATCTGAGTCTCTTGGTTATCAGTCACTTTTGAGGGGGTGTATAATATCTGTACATGAAGAAAATGTGCTTATTCTGTGACGGTCAGTTGTTTTTGCAGGTTATTCTCAGGAGTATTTTATGTGTTGTGCATTTAGTTTATCTTTTCAACGTTAGTGTAACTGAAATTTGTGTGTTTTGCTCCTAAATGGGATTTTACCAATATGTTTTGAAATTTTTAGTCATTTAACTCACTATCATTAGTCAACACGTGGAAGATATGCTAATATGAGATAATTCTCTCAATTGATTTCCAACATCCTCATGTTGATGTTTCATGACTGTAAAAGTTAGTTTGAATATTATATTATTTTAGAATTACAAATGTGTATTAAACACCTATAAGTACAAAATATCTTTTTGTAATTTGTCCTTAATAACTAGACACTTTTATATTCTCTCATGGAGCTCTTATGTGTGAAATTTCTTAGAAACTCTTTCAGCATTAAACAAATACTTTTTGAATTGTTTCATGCCAGCTACAGTGCAAAAAGCTCAAACTATAAAGATAATAACACATGTACCCTGTCTTCCAGGAGCTCAGAGACAACAGGAGCACCTTTCTTGATCTTCCCTTTTAACCTTCCTCCTCCCCAAAAGTTACCTCTGTATCTTGTAGTACTTTTGTTAAACTTTCTGCCCTAAATTGCAGTAATTTATTTGAATGACTCTCCACTTACTGACAGGGAGTTGCTTGAGGGCACAGTGCCTGTAGGTATTCAATAAATATTTGTTGAATTAAAAGAAATTTCTGTTATTTGTGTGTGCACATATAGCATTTAACTTAACTCCACTTGGTATTGCTCTTTTCTAGAGTTTCCAGAGCTCATTCTTATTTTTCAGATCTGCTGTTGACTTCTGTTTAAGTCACAATACACACACACACACACCCCCCCTCATATTCATGCAGGTTTTTTTTGTGTAATATAATGGGTTTCCAAACATAATTTAGTCGTCATGGTGCAAACCTTCCTGCAAAGCTTCTATTTTGGATTCCTCATTAGTAGTCATTGATGACAATGTTCATTCCAGTAGGAATCATTTGTTTTCTTTCATTGATATCTACCCAGTTAACACAAAGTACCATAAGTACCTGCGACAACTGGGAGACTTCATAAAATAGTTTTAGAATTTAATTGATCGTATAATAGCTCGTTAGCTTGGTTTGTTTCTAAGTATTTTTTAAAAGTCTTTCTTTTTGTCTCATAATTTAGGGTTTGTCTGATCCAGGTAATTACCATGAATTTTGTCGATTTTTGGCTCGTTTAAAGACAAATTATCAGCTGGGAGAATTAGTTATGGTGAAGGAGTATCCTGAAGTTATCAGATTGATTGCTAATTTTACCGTTACTAGCCTTCAGGTAAATAAAAAAATATACAATTGATATTAAACTGTAGATAGTTTTAAAATAATTTCTTGGTAAAATTTGGTGGGGATTTTTTTTTAACGTCTGAGAGTACTTTGCTAAAAATGTTCATTGCAAGGTTTTAGGTAAAAAAGTTTGTTATAACATTTATAATAATAAATTTAGAGGCCATCTGAATATCTAATAATTGAAGAATGAATTGATAATTATAGTAAAATGTATGTGAAGAAATAAAAAAGTTTTTACAGATTGTTTTTTGGAGAAATTCTTTTTATAAGTTTAAGGGAGTTTTAAAACTGTAATTTCTACATGATATCAACTCTGAAAAAATATTCATGCAAAGATTAGAAGGAAGTACACTAAAATTTTAACAGCGATCATTCTTGGGTGGTAGAATAATAAGGGATTGTTGGTTTCTTCTTAGACTGTTTTGCATTTACAAATTGTGCTATGTTAAATGTTCACTGGTTATATAATCAGAACAAAAGTTAATTTTAAAATCTATGTTTAGTAATTTTACCTCTGTAATTCTTATTCTAGGAAGAAATAATGTCATTTTTAATAACATTTTCTTTATTTCTTTGTAGCATTGGGAATTTGCTCCCAACAGTGTTCATTACTTATTAACTCTGTGGCAAAGGATGGTAGCATCAGTTCCTTTTGTGAAATCAACTGAACCCCACTTATTAGACACTTATGCGCCAGAAATCACGAAGGCCTTTATCACTTCTCGGTTGGAATCTGTTGCCATAGTTGTGAGGTATTGAAAACTGAATTTTTCTATTGTATATTCATCTTTTGCATCTTGGAGTTTTTAAAAATTGAGATATAGTTCACATACTGTAAAATTCACCCTTTTTAGTATACAGTTCTGAGTTCTGACAAGTGCATACAGTTGTATAACTACCATCGTAATCAAGATACAGATAGTTCCATCACCCCAAAAAAGTTTTTTTAGGTCCTTTTGTAGTCAGCCCTTTCCCTAGCCTTTGGCAATTACTGATCTGTTTGTTTCCCTGTAGTTTTTGCCTTTTCCAGAATGCTTTATAAATGAAATCATGGAGTATGTAGTTTTTTAATCTGGCTTCTTTCTCTCAGCTTAATACATTTGAGATTCTGCCACGTTGCGTCTGTAGTTCTTTCCTTTTTATTGTTGAATAGTATTCCACTTTGTAGATATATCACAGTTTGTTTATCCTTTCACATTTGGATTGGACATTTGAGTTGTTTCCATTTTTGTGAATTAGGAATAAAACAGCTATAAACGTTTCTGTACAAATTTTTGTATCAACATAAGTTTTTATTTCTCTTGCGTAAATACTTAGATGTGAGATTCCTGCGTTGCATGATAAGTGTATGTTCTACCTTATAAGAAACTGCCAAACTATTTTCCAAAGGAGCTGTGTCATTTTGTGTTCTCACCATCAATTGATGAAAGATCCGGTTGCTCTGCATCCTCACCAGCACTTGATACTGTCAGTTTTTTAAAATTTTAGTTATTCTAATAGGTGCATTATGGGTATTTCATTATTTTAAATTTGCATTCCTTTAATGTCTGATAATGTTGGACATCTTTTCATGTGCTTCTTTGCTATTTGTATGTATTCTCTGGCAAAATGCCTGTCAAATCTGTTGCGGTTTTTTTATTGGGCTATTTTGTTATTGAGATTTGAGAGGTCTGTATTTTCTGATTACAAGTCTTTTATCATACATGTTTTGCAGATATTTTCTTCCAGTCCATAGCTTTCCCTTTCATTTCCTTAACAGAGTCTTTCAATAAGCAGTTTTAAAACTTGATGAAGTTCAATTTATCCTTTATTTTTTCTTCTAGAAGTTTTATAGTTTTGGAATTTATGTTTAGGTCTATGATTCATTTTGAGTTAATTTTTGTATATGATATGAGGTAAGGCTTGAGATTCTTTTTTTTTTTTTTTTTGCATATGGGTGACCAATTATCCCAACACAACGTTTGTGGAAAAGACTATTCTCTTTTGATTGAATTGCCTTTACACTGTTTTCAAAAATTGATTAGCACATACATCTGATTCTATTTCCGGACCCTATTCTCATTAATCTATTTATTTCTCCTTCTGCCAATACCCTGTTTTGAGTACTGTAGCCTTATAATAAGCTTTGAAATCAGGTAGTGTGAGTCATCTACCTTGGTTTTCCCCTTTCAGAATTGTCTAGGCTCTTTTACTTCTTTTGCTTTTCCATATGAATTTTAGAATCATCTTGTTAGTATCTACAAAGAAATTCCTTTTGGGATTTTGAGTGAGATTGCATTGAATTTGTAGATTCATTTGGAGGAAGAATCGACATCTCAGCATTATCAAGTCTTTCAGGCAATCAGCATGTTTATCTTTTAATTTATTTAGCTCTTCTGTGATTTCTTTCATCAGTGTTTTATAGTATTGAGTCTTCAGATCTCACATATGTTTAATTAGATTTAATTAATATTTTATGTTTCTGATGCCTTTGGAAGATGCGGTTTTTTAAATTTCAACTTCCAGTTGTTCATTACTAATGCATAGTAATACTGTGAATTTTGTATATTGACCCTTTTCTATAGAAGGACCTTGGTAAACTTACCTGTTAGTACTAGTAGTCTTTTGTATTTTTTATTTATGTAATTATGTTGTCTTCAAATATAGACCTTTTGTTTCTTATCTTCCTATCTCTTTGTCTTTTATTTATTTATGCTTGGTGAAATTTTTATTTGACATATATAAAGTTTATTTGTGGTGAATAAAAGTACATCACATTCTAATGTTGTCTACAAACTTGTTCTTGTATATTTGCAGAGATAATTTAGACGATCCACTGGATGATCCAGCTACTGTGTTTCAGCAGTTGGAGCAGTTGTGCACTGTCAGCAGATGTGAGTATGAAAAGACATGCACTCTGCTTGTACAGTTGTTTGACCAAAATGCACAGAATTATCAAAAGCTTCTGCATTCAGCTTCTGGGATGACTGTGGACATGGCAATTCAGGAAGGTCAGTAAGTTTTATGTGACTATTATAGGGTATTATGTTGAATTTTAAGTAGCTTCATTAATCACTTTATTCAATAATTTTACTGCAAATTATTTTTATATATTTCCCCCAATTCCTGGTCTCCTAATAAACCATTAATTTTATTAACCTTCTGGTTATTTTGGTGATTTGATAGTTAATTTTCAGTTCTCCTTTATAAGATTATAGGAAATATTTTTCTCTGGAATCACTTTTAAAAAAAGCTGATAATGATCTTTGAGTAGAGTTTATTAAATTATAGCTATCTTTTAACAAATCATGTTTCTTTTTTTGCTGTAGCTGACTGCAAATTCAGCACCCAATTTAGCAAGTAAAAAATTACATAAGACCTCATCATAGTTTTGCATTTGTGTATTAGCCTTCACCGTGGCTTTATTTTATTATATTTTAATTCCTCAGTTTTCTCATTGTTTTTCTTTAATCCTTTATTGAAGGAGGATCTGTTTATTTCTGTATGTCCGTTACAGTCCTTTTAAGGAAAATAGCAGGGAATGAAAATAAGTAAATATGTTTTTCTTATTTTTTTAATGAGATAAATTATGAGAGTGGAACTGGTTTTATACATTTCTAATAGGAGGCTTTGATTATAGTTCCAGCATGTTTTTTTTTCTTTCATATTTGTTTCTTTTATCTTGTTTTAGAAAGTGAGTGGTAAAGAATGATAGTCAAACTTACTTTCAGTGATTTCCCATCTAAACTCTTTTTAAAAAAATTCTTTAAAAGATTATCCTTTACAGTTATATAACTTCATCTTAAAATACCTTTTATTCATTACCTATCTGTATTTTGTTTTTGTTTTAAGTCACACAATGTGTGTTATTAAGATCTCATTATTTATAAATTAAATTGGGGAGAACTAACTTTTTTTCAGCATTTACTATTTTCATGATTGAGTTCTTTTAGTAGAGTTTTGAAAATTATTAAATATCAAATACATACAAAAGGATATTTATATATATTAAGACATGATGACTAGCAGTAACAAACACCATCACATAGCTTAAAAAATAGGCCAATACCAGTATCCTTGCTGCTCCCTTTGTTCCCCTGTCCAAATCTATCCTCCTTCGTACTAGTAGAAAAAACTTGCAATCTTGAATTTTGTGTTTATCATCTGATGCCTTTCCTTCATAGTTTTACTGCATGTATGTGTATTCTGAAAATAACGCATGGTTTTGCATATTTCTGAACTTTATACAAATGGAATTAAACTGTGTTTATTCTTCTACAACTTGCTTTATTATTATTTCTCAGTATTGCGTATATGAGAGTTCATATTGATGCTGCAGCTATAGTTCCTTCATTTGCACTGCCACTATTCTGTGGTGGTTTGAATTTAACACAATTTATTTATGCATTTTTCTTGTCAATAGTGTTTGTATTTTTTCTATTTTTTGCTAATACAATGAGTGCTGCTGTAAAGATTGTTAATGTGTATCCATTGCATAGTCAGCTTCAGTAGCATTATCTACTGTTTAACCAGTTTACAAAGTGATTGTACTGCTGTACATCCTGCCCACCCTGATCTAGATCCTCACCAGCAGCTCGTAGTGTTAGACAAATTGTGGCCAGATTCATTGAAGTAATAATATCTCATAAGTATTTTACTTTTCACTCTCATGATTATTAATGAAGGTTAGCATTATTTTATGTTTACTGACTGTCAGTTGTGTCATCATCAGTGATATCCAATATGTTTATGACTTTTCTTTATTTCTCCCTCACCATTTGGATTTTTAGTCTTTCTCCTACTGATTGAGCTCTTTCTGTATTTTTGACAGTAATCCGTTAGTTATTTGAACTGTAAATATTGTCTCCAAGTTTGTAACTTGTCTTTGCTTGTCACTTTAATGTGTCTGTTCTTGTAGTTATTTTTATATCAAAATTTATTTTAATTAAGTCACCTAATCCTTTTGAAGAGGTAATATATTAACATTGTCCAGAAAAAAGAAATTAAAATGTGTTCTGTTCCAGTCTTATCTAATGAGTAATGATTCTTACTACTTTTGCATTTCTTTCCAAAGTTTCTGTATGCATATACGAACAATTATGTATATATAAACTCTCATCTCGCCTTATTTACATAGAATGTGGCATACCACACTGACTGTTCTACTCCTTGCTTTTTTTCATTTAACAATGTATTTTACAGCTATTTTCAAATTAGCGTATAAAGAACGCTTATTTTTATAGATGCATATATTTTAGTTTTTGAATGTATCATAATTTATTTAACCATTCGCTCCACTGTTAATAGTCATTTGAGTTGTTTGCCATCTTCTGCTCTTAACCTAATGCTATACAGATGAACCTTGTACATATGTTATTTTACATGTGCGAGAGTATATCTATAAGATTAATTTCCAGAGGTGGCATTACTGTTTGGTGGAAGGGTTAATGTATTTATAGTTTTTTATAAATATTGCCAAATTACTCTCTGTAAGGACTATACCAATTTACTTGTCCACCAGCAATCTATGAGAGTGTTTCCATGTTGTCTTCATAGGACAGTATTACCAAGCTTTTGAATTCTTAGTAATCCTATAGATGAGAAATGATTTCTCAGTATAATTTAACATTCTCATATCAGTGAGGTTAAGCATGGTTTAAATTTATTTAAGAGCTATTCGGTCTTCTTTTTCTGTAAATGAACTATTCATTTTCTTTGCTCATTTTTTAATTGGGCTTTCGCGCCTTTCTTTTCTCATTGATTTTTATGAGCTCTTTATGTATTAGAAAAATGAGCCCTTTGTCTGTAATAAGAGTTGCAAATATCTTTTTCCTTTCTTTCTTTCTCTCTCTCTTTTTTTGAGCTTACAGTTTGATGAATTTAGTAGTTAGTCACAGCCATGTAACTATGAATAACAAAACATTCAAAACAGAGAACACGTCTTTGACTTTAAATGATTTTCTCCTGCTGTTTGATTTCTTTCCCTGACTCTTGGCCCTTGTAACCACTGATTTCTGTCACTATGGTTTGTCTCCTTTAGATTTCTATATAAATGGAATCATACAATAAGTAGTCTTTTGTGTTTGGCTTTATTTGTTTAACATAATGTTTTTGAGATTCAAATATATTGTGTATATTAACGTTTTGTTTCTTTTCATTGCTGTATTGTATTCTATAGTATGGTTTTACCATAGTTTATCCATTCGCAAGTTGATGGACATTTGAGTTACACTTCTAGTTTTGGGCTCTTATGAAAAATGGTGCTGTGAACATTTGCAGACAAGTCCTTTATGTACTTAACTTTTAGTTTCTCTTGGGTAAATACCTAAGATAGATTGCTGGGTCATATGAGAAATGTATGTTTAATATCATAAGGTACTTCTATACTGTTTTACAAAATGTACCATTTTTCATTCCCATTAACAATGTATGAGAGTTTTATTTGCTCCACATCTTTGTGATCATGTGATATTGTCTTCTTAACTTTAGCCATTTTGCTTGGTGTCTAGTAGTGTCTCATTTTGGTTATAATTTGCATTTCCCTGATAATTAATGATGTGCTTTTTCAGCCACTTTTATATCTTTTGTGAAATGTCTGTTCACATGTTTTGCCCATTTTTAAATTGGGTTGTTTGCTCTTTTGTACATGTTCTTATTATTGGAACTGTAAGAGTGTTTTATATGTTTTGTATACAATCACTTTTTCACATATGTTTGCAAATATTTTCTCTTTGTCTGTGATTTTTCTTCTTAATTGTCTTTCAAAAAGAAAAGTTTTATATTTTAATGATCTGCCTTTTCAGTTTTTTCTTTATGGTTTGTGCTTTTTGTGTTTAAATCCTGTGTAAGCCAGGTCACAAGAATGTTCTATGTTTTCTTCTAGAAGGTTAATAATATTAGCTATTATGTTTAGGTCTGTGATCCACTTTGGGTTAATTTTTATGACTGGTGTGAAGTAAGGGTAAGGCTTCCTCCCCAACTCAAACATTTATCAAGTTGTTCTAGCACCATTTGCTGAGAAGACTGCCTTTTCCCCTATTGAATTATTGTGACATCTTTGTCAAAAATCAGTTGACCAGAAAAGACTCGGGTCTATTACTGGACCTATTCTCTATTCTGCATTGATCTATATGTTGATCCTTTTGCCAATATTATGATGCTGTCTTAGTTTCTGTAGTTTTATAACACTTGAAATCAGGTAATCTAAATCCTCCAGTCTTGTTCTTTCTCAACATAGTTTTGTCTGTTCTAGGCCTTTTGCCTTTCTGTATTAGTTTTAGCACCAACTTGTCAATTTATACCAAAAAAAGTCACCAGAATTTTGATTGAGATTGCTTCAATCTGTACATCAATTTGGCCCATCTTAACAATATTGAGGCTTCCAGTTCATGGACATGATATATTGCTCCACTTATAAAGGTATTCTTCAATTTTCTTTGCACTGTTTTATTGTTTTCAGTGCACAAGTATTAAAAATCTTTCACTAAATTTATTCCTGTATATTTCTGGTGCTACTGTAAATTTTATGATTATTCTCTGCTACTCTGTAAAACCAGAATTAATTTTTGTCTTTGTGTCCTATGACTTTGCTAAATTTACTTAATTAGTTCTAATAGCTTTTTTGTAGATTCTTTAGGATTGTTTTATATGACTGTGTCATCTGGAAATAAAGACAGTTTTATGTCTTGTCTTCATGCCTTTTATTTCTTTTTCTTGCCTTATTCCACTGGTAAGACCCTCTAGTACAATGTTGAAAAAAAGTGCTAAGAGTGGATCTTCTGGCCTTGTTTCTGTTTGTACATAGAAAGCATTGATCCTTTCACCATCGAGTATGATGTTATCTGTAGGGTTTTCTCTTTTTACAAATGTTCATAATAAATTTGAGGAAGTTTGCTTCTATTCCTCTGGTTAGTTATAATGAATGGGACATTAACTTTTTTAAAAATGCTTTTTCTGCACCTGTTCAAATGACCTTTTTTCCTTTTTTATTTTACTAATACAGTCATGCACT